GGTAATAGTAATCATACCGCATTCCCTGTGCCTCCTAATGATATCTTTTGTTTATTACAAAATTGAACTGACTATTAACCAAACTGTAAATACTTTCAGCGGTAAAACGTTTTCTTTGGAAAACACACATAGAGGAATAGACACATTCACAATACAGTACGTACTCTAAATCTGTTTTTTTTTATATATAATTATATAATACTTACTATTTCATACTCTTTAGTAACACTGTAGCTGATGTTATCTAGCTGTTTTTTTTTTCAGATAGCCTGTCACTCACTGCTTCTTCTTCCATTTTGCGCCACTTGTCAATAAATCCTTTCAAAGGCGAATCTGGCTCGTACCCGGCAGTCTCAGTTCGTTTATTCCCGAAGCCTCTTTTATTCCCAAATCCCCGTTTATTTCCGAAGCCCCGTTTATTTCCAAAGCCCCGTTTATTTCCGAAACCCCGTTTGTCATCGTCATCGACTTGAAACTCTTCAAATGTGTCAACTCGTTTATTTCCGAAGCCCCGTTTATTTCCAAAGCCCCTTTTATTTCCGAAACCCCGTTTGTCATCGTCATCGACTTGAAACTCTTCAAATGTGTCAACTCGTTTATTTCCGAAGCCCCGTTTATTTCCGAAACCCCGTTTGTCATCGTCATCGGCTTGCAGCTCCGTAAGTGTGTCAACTCTTTTGTTGCCGAAACCTCTTTTGTCATCGATAAGTTCCATACTTGAGCTTCCTCTCTTGTTACCGAAGCCTCTTTTATTCTCCAACCCGTATTTCAACTCAGAAATATCAGCAATTGTATCAACACTTTCCGAATCACTGTCGCTAACTTTACTATTTTCAAAGTCACGTTTATTCCCAAAACCGCGTTTCCTGCCTTCATCTTCTTCCAAGTCTTTCAGTGATGCAACTCCAAATATTGTATTTCCGTATATCTTTTCAGGCTCGGCTCGCTTGTTTCCAAATCCGCGTTTTTCATCATCTAATATTGTCTGAAATCCATCCCTCTTATTCCCGAATCCTCGTTTAACGTCATCAGCAAAGACAACGTCTTCTCGCTTATTCCCGAATCCCCTCTTTACTTCATTCTCGTCGATCTCGATAAGAGCGTCGTCTCCCTGGTCAGCAAGTTCTGTTAATTGTATGTTTCCTACTATATGTAGATTAGGTGAGCTCTCAGAACTTTCTGTTCTCACTTTTAAAAAAGTTGATACAAGTAAGAATAGGATAATCCGATGCAAGAGCGACGACGCCATTCCACAACCCACTGGCTCGTAGATGTTCGGCTTCTACAAAAACCTACAAATGAAATATTTTTGTTTTGCTTTATGAATGTTTCACATGAAATAAAAAATGATCTATTCTGCAGACACCTGTTTCTCCATATGCATATTTGCAGCCGAAGCAATTCAATATGACACACGTCAAGCTAGGTAGTTTTGTACAAATTCTACGTTAAATGTTTTTGTGTATACGGTTAAAATTCCATATATAACCGGCATTTGATATCTGGTTTGTCTACTTATCACCATTTTGTTTCACTTGTCTGTAGTTTAACTAAATAATGTAGTAGAAAATAACGACCAGATGGTAAAAGTAAGACGGTAAAATACAAAAACTCTTGTCTCACCTGTCCTTTCTATGGTATATATTTCACATAGACCACCATTAAACACTGTCGACGTTGTATGTGTTATTCCAAATAAATCTACTGACCACGAGTACACAGATTTTATATGCATTCACCAAATAATGCATTATTTATTCCCCTCTTATGGTATATGTGTAGAAAATCGATTTATAATTTAATAAAGTTTAGGTGTATCCCGTGGGGACAGTTATAGTTGTGTATAACCATGAGAGGAGATACAAAACTTTAGCGATAATTGGATTTGCCTAATGAAATGAGGTGACCTCGCTAAATTTACAGAAGCACTTATGCTAGCAAGACGAAAATCTATGTATTGGAAAGCCCATCTTGAATGTGACGCACATACTCATCATTATCAGTGCAAATTGAATATGGTAACGGGTCATCGCAATCGTTTTAATGTCAATTTCCGTGGAGCTTTGAAGTCTATTTCCTGTCATTCACACATGTGTAAGTTTTCATTGAACTCCTCCACACCAAGACGATTCCAGATTGACATAAGCGTTCTCATAAGACAGTGGGGTTACATATACTTTCATTTGCACCACGAGGGGTTAATTTCTTACGTCAGAAAAATCGTCTGCATTTTTTTTCAATACGAAAGACAAAATATTCTATCTGTAAATGCATAAAATATACACCCATAATGCATTGCGCATAGCGTCAGTGACGTGAAGTTGATACGCTGTAATCCAGTAACAACAGGTTTCGTAACAACTGTGTCCGTAGCGGGGGGGGGGGGGCATTTTCACGTCCAAATTTTACTAAATAATTTCACAGTCGAGCGGTTTTGTTTATTTAATTGTGTTGTGCCAGGCGACCGTTCTGGACATTGAGTGTCACTGTCGTTTCTCTTGAATTGTTTTTTGTATGTGCAAATTACAAGTACTAGTCAAGTACTAAGTCGCACTCGTTAGTGAATGAATCTCGGCCAGTGGAATTGACCTTCCCATTGAGTCTGTGGCACACTCACCCAGGGTCGGGGTCGACAGACCTTTTGATGTTCAGCCTAAGGTAGGATTTGAACTTGGGTCTACCGACCATGAGTCTGATGCGACAACCACTATGCAACCAGTGATCGGTACAGTCGAGCGGTTGATGCGGTTTCACTAGTCGGTTATAGAGTAATGAAACCACATATGATTTGTTTATTTGTAGGTTTGCATCAATAACGTTGATACGAAACCGAATTTGGGTCAAAATCCATTAGACGGCCAGACATCTCGAGTCCCAGTGCTCCCGCGAGAGTATTTGTGCGTGTGTATGTTTTTTTTTCATTTAAAGGCAGTAACTAAAATCACGTGACTCAATTTGGCGTCCCCTGTTTCGTGATTCAAATCAGTTAAAACGTCTATAATCTTTAAAGTATCACTGTGTAAGGTTGGCTAACCTACCTCAATTACGCTTGAATATGTGAAAGTTATTTTATTTTATGTTTCTTTTCAAATTGCAGTCGATAATATTACACATTTTTTACGCGGTCTAGGGCTGTAGGTCCGTAGCGTACTGGTTCATTGCAAACATGGATAACTAAATGCGATTACTACAATATCACATAAACACCGGCGACAGTCACATATATTGTTACATCACCAATCCGTCAGTCTACTGTACTGTAACTGCGGTTCAACATGACGCCAAATTTGCCAGTATTTTCCCATGAAACAGCACACGATTCGACTTAGTCCGAGTTTCTTCATTAAAAATTAAGTGTATGTTTCATATCATGCGTCGCGGTTAACGGAAGTCCCGTTCCGTCAACAAGAATGTCAGAACAAAGTTTGTCGCCGAACGCATTCACAAGAACCTTAGTTATTGTTTTACTCATTATTTGATTTCTTTGGGGTCTAAATATATGTCACGCTGTATACCAAATCGGAAGATGCTGTATTACTTATTGTAAAGCACTGATAACATTTGTCATATGGTGTGTATCTTCCAATCAGAGCGCAGTAGCTGTGTGACATCTGGCAATTAGAGCGCAGTAGCTGTATGACATCTGCCAATCAGAGCGCAGTAGCTGTATGACATCTGCCAATCAGAGCGCAGTAGCTGTATGACATCTGGCAATCAGAGCGAGGTAGAGGTGTGAATAGTTGATTATATTTCACTCGTGTAAGTATTGCTTGCTAAGTGCCGAACGGCTTCGTCTTTAAACGTTTCGTTGTATTTTTCGTTTTGTGTTTGTTTGTTTTTTGAATGCATATAAAGAAAGAGTTTAAAGGGAAACCTCTCAATCCCAAGGATTGCACCAAAGGATCATGGGACACTATTGTGTATGTTGTTTACAAAGTTAATCTATCCGTTGTTATTCATTGTAATTTTAATCCAGAAAGTAAATTTGTGTGATTAGGCTTAACTGGAAGGTGCCCCCTTAACTGCAATTGCGGAAATGTCAAAGTTAGCTGTTACATATATATATATTTGACACAATCAGCAGTAAGTAACTGAATTTACATAACACGAACTAAATTAGAAAGTGTTTTTTATCTAAAACACTAAAAAAAAGGACGTTATAAAGTGTGTTCCTTTCGTCCATAGAGTGGTTTATCCATTGAAAGTACCGGTGTAAATATTACGAAACATATACTAGGTGATCGCTGTATATTTGTACTACTTGAGTGATTGTGTAATAAATGTACTACCAAGCCGATCGTGGTATATTTGTACTACCATGGTGATTGTGTAATAAATGTACTACCAAGCCGATCGTGGTACATTTGTACTACCAAGCCGATCGTGGTATATTTGTACTACCATGGTGATTGTGTAATAGATGTACTACCAAGCCGATCGTGGTACATTTGTACTACCTCGGTGATCATAGTATATTTGTACTACCAAGCCGATCGTGGTTTATTTGTACTACCATGGTGATTGTGTAATAAATGTACTACAAAGCCGATCGTGGTTTATTTGTACTACCATGATGATTATGTAATAAATGTACTACTTCGGTGATCGTGGTTTATTTGTACTGCCAAGCCGATTGTGGTATATTTGTACCACCATGGTGATCGTGTAATAAATGTACTACCTCGATGATCGTGGTTTATTTGTACTACCAAGCCGATCGTGGTATATTTGTACTACTTAGGTGATCGTGGTATATTAGTACTACCATGGTGACCGTGGTATATTAGTACTACCATGGTAACCGTGGTATATTTGTACTACTTAGCTTATTGTGATATATTTGTACTATCTGGGAGATCGTGGTATCAGGAAATGGAATATCCTTAAATTGGCAGTTGAGTGCTCCTACGAGATCTGATTGTCGCTTTGTACTACTTAACATGTAGGTATGGGGGGCTCATCTATGTATTATTATTTAATGTTGTTCTTCCGTTCTTTTTCATGGGAAAGCGTGATCTTGTTGCGTTGCTTAAAAAATGGTCAGGCTGATGAAAATGATGGCATATTTCAAATCCCTAATTAACCATTGAATATGGAGATATACTATGGAAAAATATCATAATTCCATCAATTAGCTATGGAAGCAGTGTTTGGTTTAACATTTTGTTCTGGGTTAACAGAAGTGTGTCAAGCCGTGCAGTTCTGAGCGATTTAGACTGGTCTGATATCAATCTTTTGCTTGATAAAACTTGTGTGAAATATTTTGATAGATTACAGAAAATGGATGAAGTAAGGTGAACGAAAATTGTCTTCAAGGATCTCAATAAAACCTACAATAAAATTAAGCTGACCAAAATATACACATAAAATTCAGATAGAAAATGATCTGGGTCTCATTTATGCCTCACATCCACCATCTAATGCCAAATGGAATAACAGCTTCTATAAAACGAGCGATGCTAACGAATTTAGGCACAATAGGAAAAATGAGCACACTAAATAACTATGTTTAGATTAAAAAACACAACAAAAAAGAAGAGTATGTTAATGACCCGCCCCTTAATCATTTTGGCATCTCTCTCCTTTTTAAGATAAGGTAAAATTCTTTGGATTTAGAGGAGAATAAATTAAAGTGGATTATCTACACTGGGAATGGGGAATGTGGAAGTTATAAAGGCACAACTGAAGACTGCTTCATTTCCTTTCACTTGTAAAGTTTTTACTGGGATTAGAAGAATATTTTATTTAAATTTACAAAAACGTTTTACCATATTTAAAGAGGCTGTTGCAATGAGCTCATTTTATTCAGGCGGCCTGAGTTTCAGATTTTCTTTTCTCTTTAGTGATACATTATGAACATTGAACAATACTCTTGGGAGAGAAACAACCATGTTAATCGGGAAATTCATCAAAACAATTTGGGCCTCTAGAAAGGAATTCAGAGGACTTAGTTTATTAGTTTTGTAATAGTTTTCGTATGTGCTAAATTAAATGTGTTTTTTTTTTTGCTGCTTGTCTTGTTTATGTTGGTGTTGTTATTTTTTCTTGATAATGACTTGTAAGCTTTTTCCGTTTAAAAGACGATAATTATTATTATTACGTCAATCAGAGTGTAAGTGTGTACTTTATGAATCACGTTTTGAATACAGTTATAATACCACCTATATTATATATGTTTACTATCTGAGTGATCGTGATATATGTACTACCTAGCTAGGCCATCGTGGTATGTGTGTTCTACCTAGATGACTGTGGTATATTTGTATATTTATAAGACTCAGTTTGGCACTTTGATTCAAGCCACCGATATTTTTAACTACGCCTATGGTGCGTACTGGGGTTCAAGATTTAGAACATAAAACGAAAATTTACAGGAGATTGTCATGTGAAATGTCCGAGAAATTAACACGAGCGATGTTCACCAGTATTGTGAAGTCAGTTGTTTCTTGTAATAAAGCTTATCAAAACTAATGTATCTAGCATTTTTTCTTAGATATATTTGAAGTGTTTCAACTGGCTGCTCTCGGCCATTCATTGACACTTCGCCACAAATTACCTAAAGAAAAAATATGCAGAATTATCCCCGAGGTTTCTATAGTGCATCCTTTTCCGATTGTTTGCGGATAAAATTTCGGGATTACCCACAGGGAGCCCAGGAACTATGATTAAATGCACACAGTCTCTATGAGGGGGGAGGGTATCGGCTGGTATCTAGTGTAAGAAATAGACAAGAAATGAAGGTTCCAGTGAGCCCATATTTTTTAAACTAAAAAAAACAGACGAAAAGAATGAAAAATAAAATCTATAAAAAATACTAGCTTGAACAATATTAGTTGTTCTTTCAAATTTCGTCAAAGACTTACTTTTATTTTACCAATATCACTAAAATAAATCAAGAAAACTACACAAATTGACTCCATTTAGGAACATTTAACGGTTA